GTCAATGTAATTCGATGCTAACCAGGAATACTTCCAGTGTTTTTTCGATTGTTTTGAATCCGATGATCAACATTAAGAAATTATTACCGATTCGATTATTTACCTTCATTCTTATTCATGTAAAAGGATCTGTTGATGGGATTTTAAGAAGTTCGGTCTTTGAATCCGGATATCGGACGGTGAAAGATCTCAAACACAAAGTCTGACGAGATACGTTAGTATCCTTAGGCAATTATTCATTCGGTATGAAGTCTATTCGGCAAAACATGTTTCTACAAAAATCATCCGAATGTCATTATCGCTAGTTCTGGTGCTCATGATGCTACAATCAACTTGAAAACGAAAAACAATTTATATAGCATTCAGAAATATAAGCTTGAATTGTGGGTGTCGTTGAATTCGGTTATTAATCTATTTTGTGGATGCTTCTTTAATCATGCATCATCCTTCGAAAACAACTTAAGAACCGCAATGCTTAACTCACTCACATCTAATATATATGGCTTCGGAAAGTACCCTCTCGTGTTACGATAGTGATTAGCCGTGCTCGTTTTCATCATACTTTTTCAATTATGGAGTTCAGCTTTTTTTTTTTCTCGCATATTCATTTTGAATCTTCTCACGGAACAACAAAGAATCACATTCGGTGCGTAATTTCTTTCTCATGAAATGAAAAAGCAATTCTTATTCACTTCAAGCAGTGGTATAGTGCATAAACAACTGATGAATTATATCAATTTATTGTATTTATTCGCTTAGTTGAGATACTCTTTTTTGTTTTCAGATTGTTTTTGAGTTGTTGCATCGTAAAGTGAAATTCAGTTGAGTTTCTGTTCTACTGACAATCACTAATTGCAGTGTTTTGCTCGTCAAGGCGAAAATATTCGCTTTCGTTTTGTTCTAAAAAAACATTTGAATACAAAATTGAACAGTTTGCTACTCAAGGCTATCGTCTTCGTTGTCTTGGTGTAGTGCATTTTTCTTTTAGAAAATCAGCCATTTTTGTCAAATTTATCCAAGAAAAGCCTCAATGAATTTATACTGTCTTATCGAATCGTATCAACCAATAACCATTGTAATTCTTTAAAATATTGAATGATTTCTTTACCGTTGGTAAGCTTTTTAAACGAATTACTTTGTATGATCAAAGAAAAAGTCACTTCCAAGTGATTGCTTCGAATGAAAGCAAAACATAGGAACATCTACGTTTCATCTGCACTTAACATCTTTTCCCATGATATTCCGCTCACATAATCCGTATACTAATCATTCATATTTATTTCAGTAAATATGCGCATCAGTTCGTTCAGATTTTTTTCATGCAAGATGCTTTGATGAACAGCTTTAACTGGATGATTAGGCTGTAATTATATTTTATTTGGAATGTGTGAAAGGCATTGCTCTTTTCAGAGGCGTGCTTCACATGTGTCTGTTTATAAATGCACTCAACGAATTCAACAGCAAGTGTTCTGAAACATGTTTCTTATTCAAAGTAAATGTTCGGAACGAACAACATCCACGTTCTGTCAATTTTGTGATTCGTTGTCTTCATGTTGCATCTTCGTTATTCGTGTAGGATCCAAGTCAAAAACAAAAACAGACAACACAACTACGCATTTTACGTTTGTTTTGTTTGTAGGTTGAAAGACTGAACAACCACAATATCTAGTTGAGTCGCCTTTCATAAGATTCTTTAACATGGTTACGGTATTTTGATTCTTTCTAATGGGCACTGGTCATCTTCTATCAGTGCCAATAAGTTTTCAGTTAATCAACGATACAACTTCCACGTAATTTTCTTAAACAGCGAAGACAATGATTTATAGGCGTAGTGCGTTCAAGAGGATATTTCAAGTACACATGAATGTATTCCATCGTGATTTGCTCATCTGTTTTTTGTTGCTCTGTCAACGAGAACATAGTGAAAGTGATGTTACGAATACAATTTCTACTGATGTTATCAACTTTCTGGGTTGATGAATTTTTAAGAAAAGAAGTACTGCTCGGTTTTGCTTCAACATCTTACCGGATGACCGACTAAACCCACTCCACTTACGCGTATTCTGTTCACGTCGATCTATGTAATAGGGAGAACGTTTATAAATTCAAACGGTTTGATGCAAAATATTGTTTTTTTCATTCGGCATTCTCAGCCTCACGAAATTTAATGATCATATGATTGCACAAATCTGATGAAACAGATCATCAGACATCTATCAATGCGGATTTTTCAAAATACTGTATTAAGAGTTACCATAACTACTCATTCAGCTTTTTCTGATATTCTAATTTCAGGCATCTTCTCAGCTAATAGAGCTTGCTCTCCAATCTTTCCATTCTCGATTTTCCATCCCTAAAAACATTCCAAATTGCCTTTGGCAGTCGGGATAGCATTCGTACTTTTCGCAGAGAAGATTTCAGCTTTTGGCCCGATGAACCTAACCGCTTTTTCATGCAGGATCCTCGGACGAAATAAACTTTTTATTACATGAGCTTTCTTTCTCATTTATGGAATCATTCCAGTGGTCCGCTCAACAACAATTTTGCTTTTTTGACCCAGTTTGGCGGAAGATTACATACAAGGATTGAGTGATCACAATAGGGCCTCACGAACACGTTAGCAAAAGACAAGCATGAACAGTGAGCGAGCCACTATAAATGCATTTTTGTCGTGAGTAGTGAGCGAGCATCTGTGAGCAAATGAGCAACTCGAAGATTTCTTTTTACGTTGAGCAGCGCCATTTTTCAAAAATTAATCACAAGATGTATTCCGTTCAGTGGTCAGCTGTAATCACTGATCAGCGACTACGAATAATAATGATGTAATCACTCTACAAGTTTGTGGGGAGAATGAAATGAACAAGTTAAACACTTATCCAATAATAAAATTGAATGAATGGAGTTAAATTGACACTTCTTGAGGTGTTCGTATTCTCAATACATTTACTTGACAAGCAACGCTCGTTGATTGAGTGGATTATGCAAATTTAGCACATCATGTTTTATGAATAACACTCTCTTATAGCACCTTTGCTATTCACTACGACTATGCGATGTTGATGTTATTGTTATGATCAAAGCAGTGCTTCTCTATCAAACGCGTTCTGCTAGTTGCGTTACCCTCACATATTGACATCGATTTCTAAATAACAACATATGCTCCTTCGAATTACTTAAACTAACTGTTATCAACCGATCCCTGTAATAGTGAGGCGAACATTGCAAATCACATTTCTGTTTCTGGGAGATTTCTAATTGAAATAAACGAAAAATTTTGCTCGTTCATAGCACGTATCTTCGTTCTTCTTGTCTAATTATTGTGAGCGATTAGTAGCGTCGTATAAATTTTGAAGTGTGCTAAGTAGGAAGTATTTAGTGTGAAAAAATAATGAATGAAGTGTTTATTCGCTGATAATTTTACTTTTTCTATCCGATCATCAATCACGTCTCGTTACCGCAGTGTGATGCGATAATGTGTTGGATGGGACAGACAGGAGCAGCAGTTGGAAAAGTGTTCACTGAATAGTGTTGAATCGAAAGTTGGGTTATTCAGCTTCCAAAATATAATCACCTGTTTTATCCGTAATCTTTCTCGGTATAGTGATCTCAGTAGTTTCGCTTTCAATCGCATCAATCAGATAGATACACGGCCAGTAAGTGTTTCGCGGTAGAGTAATGTCGCGTGATTAATGATCTCAGCAAGAAGGTGATGAGTAGGTGCTCAGTGAAACGATCGGAGCAAAGAAATGTATGCTTTACAGCCTACGAACAACATATGTAATATCAAAACAACTTGAAAAGTTGCTGAGTCGAATTTTTTCTCCTCAGGCGCCGTAGTGCCCAAATTTCACTTTCCGAACGTTTCTCGGTCTTATTCCTCGAATATTTTCTTTTTGATCGGCAATAATCCATGTGAAAGTTCATAAAAAACTGGATTTAAAGATAGGTTCGTCATTGTGTGCAAAATATTGACCATTTTCAAACTCGAGATCATTTTTAGACCCTAATGTAAGGTAATCACGAGGTTGGATAGTAATCATAAACTGATGTTACGAAATTTTTGTTCACTGCTTTTTGAAAAAAGAAATCTGAGGTGTCGCTGATATGTGGTTTTTTATCCGTTAATTTCCCTTCGGGTGATAAAAAGTCACTAAGTATGAATAAAGTGGGAGTGATTGATGTGTAATTCAAGATGAGTATATCAGCGATACTGTATAAAATGTCGTGTTTTACCAAATTCTGAAAGCCTGGGATTTTTGCGAAGATGAATCCCGGGATCGCAGTCGGAATCCTGAGATCCTGATACAAACAGGAGTCTACGTCCTAGACAAAAAACAGATTGACTCAGCGACCTTTTAGACTGATCTTTTTGAAGCAAAGGCTGATTCTACACCAATCGGCGTCTTTTTAAGAGCTGGCCTTCTCGAAATTCCAAAATCTGAAAATCTCGAAGTACCTTATATCGGGTGGTAAACAAGTTGGTCTAGTCACCTTTCAGACTACATTTTTGGTTCGAAATTTCGCGTCTGTTTTTTTTTTCTGGACTACAAGACGTAGAACCTCAGAAATTGCAAAATTCGAAAAAATTTGTCACCCTAATGAAGACCTTATCCGCAACAGTTCATTGTTCTCGAGTGACACAGTCTATGTAAATTGCATTGAAATATGATAATTGAACACCGCGAATGAACATCGATAGAATGCTACATTAATTCAACTGGTAATGCTGTTTTTCATGGTAGTTGAATATGTGATGATGGTATAAGCGTGACACTTGCCGGTAATTCTTAATTTCATAATGGGAAAGCAATTACCAATTGTGTGATGATCAGTTTGAAATCCATCATAATTGGATATAAACTTCATTTTGCTACTTTGCATTCTCTAATTTCTTGTGCGCATGCTTTCTTCTTTTGGACATCGTCGTTGTTGGGTCGATTCTTTCTTAATTAATGTCATGGTTTTACTCACACTTACTTGGATCAAATGAATTCCAGGGCATGTCTAGAATTGGACTTTTCGGTCAAATATCAGAGGTAACAGAGCATTTGTATCTTTCGGGCGCTGGCGTCCTCAAGCCAGAAAAACTAAAACAGAAGCAGATCACTTGCATTATCAACGCTACCATAGAGGAACCGAATGCTTATATACCTGGTCGGTGACATCGTTTTCAATCTTTTGCGCATTATAAAAATTTCAATGAGGGCAGAAACGAACGCTCCACTCCGCTTCAAAGTTCCTTGAACTTTGTTTCGAAATGTTTTATCGGTTAGGCTCATGAATGAAATTTCATCGTTAATTTTCAATAAGAGTTCAGAAACTCAAAGCATTTTGTGTTTTTATTTGTGTTCTTTTCCTCTGAGAAGGTTTAAGTGTTTATGAATGTTTATTTTGTTCTCTGGACTCAGGAATCGATTATTTGAAAATCTCGATTGAAGATAACCCGGTTGCGAGAATCGATCAGTATTTTGACTTTGTTGCAGATAAAATCAAAGCGATAAAGGTTTGCATTCTCTATTCATTGCTAATATTAACTTATCAATGTTCAAACGTCCCCTAAAGGTGCTTCTCAAATTAAGTACTATTGATAGCAGTGATACGTAAGAGTTAAAATAAAAGAAATAAACAGGATCGCGGTGGTAAAACTCTAGTGCACTGTGTGGCCGGGGTATCACGTTCGGCATCATTATGTATCATTTATTTGGTGAAGTATGAACGAATGTCATTGCGTCAAGCATATCATTATGTTAAATCGGCACGACCAATTATACGGCCGAATGTTGGCTTCTGGAAACAAATGATTGACTACGAACGCAAAATTCGAGGTAATTGTGATCATTTTTACTTCTTTTTTAATATTTTTCACGTAATTTTTCTCGTCAGCAACGCTAATTGCCTTAGTTTCTGTGTTAACGCATTGCTTAAGGTGCATCGTCGGTTTCTATGATTACATCAAATCAGTGCGATTTGGCCATTCCGGATGTTTACTGTAGTGAACTGAAGAAGCGAATCGTGCAGAACAAGAGCAATCCAAAGCACATAACCACTGGATTAATCTCCATGCAGAGTTTGTTCAGCGGAAGGAGTTCATTACCTTCGTAAGTACTTCTAATTAATGACGCATCGGTGATGTTCAATTTACCAATGCAAACAGTTCGTTGATAAATCAGGCTTGTATGTCGATAATTTCTGTGACGCATCTCAGTGATCTTGTCGTTATCTTCTGAAATTCTTCAGAATTTACGCTCACTGACTTGAAACATTTTTGACTGTTTGTTGCCGTTCGAGGTAAGGGCTACTCTGTTTTTTGGATGATGATTTGCAATCAATCACCTAATTCAGTTCATTGTCAACTATGACATATCGCCGCTCGGGCTCGCCAACAGCAATATCCTCATCTTTCGTGCCATCATTTCCATCCCGATATTCGAGTGTTTCATTGCTCAATCCAGCTCCAACACGACGTCGTGGTTCAAGTTCATTGTTTGAGAATTTGTACCATTCAGAATTTTCAGCGTTCTGATCCTTTTATATTTCTATTTTGATTTACCTTCCTTTTGTTCTGCCCAGTATGTGATGAGTTAATTCTGTCTTCGCAATTTCTTTTCATCATGGTTCACACTACCATAATTGTGTATTCAGCATCTGAAAGAGTTATTTGGAAATAGTTAGGAACATACAATCGAATTATTTTCATTGTGTGTAATTCGTTGCTAGCACAAGTACAAACTATGGATTATTATGGACTGGGTAGTAAATGTGTCATCGTTTTTTTTTTCGCTCGAAAGTTGACCCTGCTACTGCTCGGAATTGTTTGGTCGGTGAAAGAAAAATTCACCAGCACATTCTACTCATATGTCTTTGTGTAAGCAACTTATTTAATATGCCTCATGCACATAGCGCACGCATGAGTTTTAGCCTCGTTTGCTTGAATTACAATAGCGCAGAAGATTAGATGGATGAAACTAAACTGAGGCAAATGCGTTTTATAGGTCGCCATATGCGCGAGTAGTTTGCTAGCGGATTTTCCGGAAAATATGTTTGATTGTTAGAGGTGGTTGTTTTTACAACTGTATTCGCAAAAGTTATCATAATGAGTGAAAGATGAAAAGATATTGTGATTTGCTTTGATGAATGTAACTAAATGATTTGTTCAAGTGAATGACGTGAATCGATCGTTTTATACCCCAAAATTTTTCGCCATTGGAAACCAAACACTTTACGTCATAATGATAACAATGTTGGAGAACGGAATCGACTTTAGAGTTCTGCATAACGAATCTCTTTATGCGCTGGCATAGGGAAAGAAATTATACTTCCTTTCGTCCATTCCAAAACTTCTTACAGTTGTTCGCTTGAAACGAATGTTGAAATATTCTCTAGAAATATGTCGTATTTCTACCGCGAAAAATGCACCAAATCGAAACTGTTCAGGTATAATATGATTACGATTGTTCATTGATTAAGATCATTTTCGTGACGTTTTAATAGCTTTCTGATTCGATTTTTGCCTATTGACCTACGTCGATCGACAAAAACTATTCCTGAAAGCAGGAACATTCGATTGTTTCCGTTCGTATTTTGTGTCAATTTTTACAGCTAACTCTCTTGTCAGATTTCATGCATAAGTATAAATTCATCATTCCACTTCTTGATATTTGTTGAAATCGAAGCATTGCGCTTAAAGAGTTATGGATATTGATGATTGCTCAAGATCTGTAATAATGACCTATGTTTTTATTGAGGGTTGTTAATCGTGAAAATTTTATATCTTCACTGTTTTTTTTCACGAATTTTATGAAAAGAAAACTTTATTGGTGGTTTTTCATTGCATTTTCAACAAATTATTATAAAAAAGAAAATGTGCAATTACGGAGGAATTAAATAGAATAGCGAATAGTTGACCATTTCATTGTTACACGTTGGCATTAGCATTCAGATTATATAGAACAAATAAGATGGATGAAAAAGAAGCAATTGTTAGTCAGAAACAGTAATGAAAGGTGATATTCACTGAATAATGAAGAAGATATCAATAAGGAATTGAAACCAAGAGGAAGGAAAGTGAAACAATGCAATGTATAGGATAAGCTCTGAACAAGTTTAAAGTGAAACGCGAACAATGATGGATGCTTGCTAAAAGAAAAAATCTCAAAAATAGCTCCGTCAAAGATATATTTCCATATCGAAAAAAATTTTCATAAGAATGAATTGAAAGCGATGTATGTACAGAAACATTTACGTCCGATCGAAAAGATTCTTTGGGTTTAAAAACACTTACATAAATGTCATTTTTGACTTCTAAAAGGTATTATTGTTTCTCCATATATGCACATAATGGCTTACTTGTATTCATTGATAATGAATAGGATGTAATGATTGAATTAAACAATGCCAAATGGAAAATGACGTGAATGAATATCATGAGTACTATGCATTTATCACATAAGTTGAGTTCTTCGAGTGAAGACGCGCTGAAGTGGTGATGCAAATAGTCAGAGGAATGTTCTATCCAGTTCATTAATATCAGCCTAAACCGACAGTGTCATACAAATATTTGATACACAATATTACCGTTCTAAAACAACAAACATGTACGACTACAACGAAGATATTCAAGCTTATGACCAGACGGAGAATATTGGTGCTTCTTTTTGCAGAGGGATTGGTTAAGTAACCAGGAATGTTATGAAGAATGATCATGAGGAGGGAATTACGAGTGTTGGTCCCATCCGCCAGGCATTCGTGGTAACAAACCTGGATATATTACAGCCCATGATAAAATCATCTCAGGGCATAAAACTCAAAAGAGTGACTCAAGTAAATGGTTGAAAGTTACTTTATGGCAACGTTTACATGCAAATTTTTACGGACCTTCAATCGGTGTTGTTGATGAACCATTTCGCTATGAAGATTAATACAAATTCACTTTCAGGATTATTAGGGAATGAAGTTGATATGAATATAACATGAAATGAATATCGGTCATCGTATGAATAACACATGATTAGTTCGGAAAAATTTCCTGCCTCATGTTCATCGAAACCGATTTGTTTCAGATCATTCCATTTGATTTAGTGAATTCCCAGATTTTTTTTGGAACGATGAAAGAAGAATTGTACAATGTGTGGTTAAAATTAGCAATTAATGCTGGCACTTTATGAGTTTGAGCTGTCTGATAAACAGAGTGAATCAATGGAATATCGGACGTTGCATCCCCCAAAATACGCTCAACGAGAAGTCGTTCTCTGCACAGTTGAGTTTTCGACAGAAGATTGAGTAGTTATCTTTTCATCAATTTTCAGTTCTTCATAAGCTCGCTGAAAGTTATCATTGATTGGTACGAGAGAACATAGATCGTATTTTACAGTATTACAATGCTTATAACTTACAATTTCAGCATCTGAAGGCACTCGTGAAAGGAAATCAAGTAACTCGTTGTTCGGGATGAAGTTTGGGTTACGCAGTTTCTTCGTGAACTTGTTAATGCCTGAAGAGGAGGAACAATGAAATTGCACCATGGATGGTGCTGTCAGAAATGAGATGAAAATAGTTGTATGACGGCTAACCCCACACGATTAGAATCCAGCGTAACGGAACTACGTATAAAAGAATGGTGGCAATAATAAGAACAACGATCGCCAAATTTGAGAGATATTGTTGCGTGAAGTTGAATGTACTGCAAGCAGAAAAGTTGTATACAGATTATTTGCTTTTAGTATCCTCTTCTTATTAAGTATTCAAGGTATAACATTTCTTTATCATTCATTTACTTCTACCTTCAATTGGAGTACACATATGTATACTCAATTTTTTAGATTTTTTTCCCCATATCTTCGAAAAGAAAGACAGAACACATTGTTTGATTTAACTGCAAATCCAACTGTGCTTCTGATTTTAAAAAGGTTTGTTCTTTGAAACGTTACAAACTTTTTCACACGTTCTAGTAAAGAAGCTATAAAATCCATCGTATTCTGCACCATTGCCAATGTATCTTGTATTGCATATAAACGATCCTTAAGAGTGGATGAGCCCCTTTCACTCTGTAACAGTTTGAGATCACTTCAAGATCATATTCAACTGGTAAATGAGACACCAGAAGAGGAAAACATCGGAAATAAATACGATTAAAATGAAAGCTAAAACAATACGAAAAAAATGAAAGAAGTTGACGTAAATATCTCATACGACATCATTCAATCAGCTTTTCAAGGTGTATGCATTATTCAACATTATTCAATCAGCTTCAAGGTACGAATTCGATACACAGCAAATGGTCATGTTAACGAAACATACGAGCTACCGTTATAATAGAATGAAGTAAAAATATTCAAGCTCATCGATATGGTTGCACAACATTACTGGTTTCAATGTGCTGAGAAAAGCTTCCTTTCATGCTTGTGGTATGTGAATTGTATTCAGTGATCCATGGAGAAATTGAACCATTTGAAAGTGGTTGTGAAAAGCAATTTACAACTATTGAACAATAGCTTCACACTGGTTTTAGATGAAGATACAGACTTTAAAACAGAGTTGTGGATAAGATCGGTAATGATAACTAACTAATCTGACAATTGTTCTGTAGCAAAACGTCAAAGAGCAAAACAATGATCAAAGAACAGCGATAAACAAAGACGGAAAATGAAGGATAGCTGAAATGACGGATATTCATATTACGTCTTTTGATTGTTGCATGCTGGCTTGTCGTTTTAGTTTTGTTGCTTTGGTGTCCTGAAAAAAAGGTGGCTCCTCTTTATTTTCAATTATTTCTTTTGAACGCGAAGCCATCAGATGAATATATTGACTCAAAATGCGAAGCGGTAACCCAGCATATCAAAATTGCTGAACGAAATAAAAAAAATTTCAAATATCCAAAAAATGTAGCGCATATGAGCAGAAAACAAAACAAGAAGCGCATGCGAACAATCACGCAAACTACTGAATGAAAATAGCATGTTTGACTAAAATGAATAATAAAGGAAACTTTCATTCCTTTTGAGAATGCTTATTTCCCAGGCTTTGATGGAATAGACGGTTGAATATGAAAATTTTGGTTGCTGAATGCATATTTGAATTTATACAGGATTTCAATATCAATTCCAAAGTTTTTTGAGGTATAGCATGATTACAGAAGTTATTTTGCATCTTCATAGCACTGCTGAAAAAACAATCCTAAAAATTTCGTTGAATATTGCACTTTTCTCTGTTCTAAGCGTAATACTGTGGAGTCTTCCAATCTGATAACAGAAGGTTAAATTTTTCTAATTCTGAAGTGAATTAAATTTGACGACAAAGCGTCGAGTGTCCCAAATAATGACTCATAAAATTCATCTTCGGTAGTACTAATTAAACCTATTGTGCTTGAAATAATTATACATTATTCATTGGCTTTAATAGCAGTGGAGAAACTTTAAAACTGCATTCATTTCAAGTAAGCTCAAAATTGATTTTTTGCTGCTCGATATTAACATTCTGTTTTCCGCAAATAATAATTATTAACACTTCCTTCTTGAATGAACCAAGCAAGGTTTGCCATTAGAAAGTCCCGAAAAGGGCGAAACAGTGCGTTGCGGGGAGTGGGTAATATCGGGAATGGATTTTTTTTGAAAACGACCACACCTTCGGGCTCTCCGAGTGTAAATTTCTTCTCCGACTGTTCCCGCCACTAAGTCTTTGCCGTCCCCGCAACACGAAAGGCCGAAATAATTGTGCAGTTATTTGCGGCATAATTGTGCAGTTGAAATAATGCCGGGTTCGACAACTGTCGTATAAGATAGCTGAGCAGAATTTGGTCTGGGCAGAGGAGAATGCAAAAAGCTCCGTTGCATGCGACTGTGCAGCTGTAATTCGGGATCCAAAAATCGCATCCAGAAGTTGTGAGTTCATAAGAAAAATTCGATATTTTTATTGGTACGCAAAAAAGCAGTCAACAGAGTGAAAACAGTTTCAGAATCGCATACGTCTTTGGTTTGTGGTGCTATCGGCCGTTTTAACTTCTTAGACGCATCCTGCAATCAACTATTAACAGAACTTTAAACAACAAATCCGCTTGAGATAAGATCGGCATTATTCAACTAAAAAAAGATTTTATCTATTGTTGAAGATGCACAATTTTCGAAGTGATTAATTCATAAATGATTACAAGTTATGACAACACATTATATTCCTCCAGATGTCCATTCAGACAAAGTGCTTCTTTTATGATACATACCAGAACAATTATTAATCCAAGAGCAAGTCTAACATGAGTGCAGTTACTCAAAAGAACTAGTGTGGTGCGCGGATTGGCGAATGTCAGTGTTCTCGTCCCCGTATTCCCGTCCCCGACAATTTTCAAGACGACCGCATTTTCGGAGTCCGCGACTACAAAATTTTATCCCCGATTTTTCTCGTCCTGATCTTTTTTCCATCCCCGCCCGCAGCACACTATGAAGAACTATTTTAATGATACAAGCGCAAAAAAAGACGGATAGAATGCAGAAGCATTAGTTAGCTATTCAGTAAAACATTAAAAACAACGATGCAGACAAGATGAACGTACTGATTGTGAGAAAAAAATGTATAATGAGTAAAAATGGTGCCTTCCTTGCCTTCAATTACCTGTTCAGTGGTTTCGTCATCTTCATAAGACTCACGAGGAGAAGCCTCTCGTTGTGACATATCCGTAACGCTTGGATTGTAATATTGGTACAGATATGTTTTTAAGAACAGCGCCAAGATGATCAAAGGAACATGATATAGCTCGAAGAAATATACAGAAACCAAGTAGACCTACAAAATGCCATAGATCACTCAGAACTACTGACAGTACCTTATTGCAACTCTGAAAACTACTCAAAACCTCAAATTTATTGAAAAACCTTCTCCGCTAAATAATTCAATGTGATATTGATGCTAAAGAACTAAAAACTGCCGGTTGAATCTGTCCTTTTTCAGTCAAGGAAAGAACAGGAACAACTGACCATGAAAGCGATAATTGAGCGTTTTGGCGAATCCCAATTGAAACAACTTTGTACGAAGTCGTGAATCTCCATGGCACATAATAACGAATTTTTCAACCTGTTCCAATTCATATTGATTGATATCATGAACGAATATTGTTTAAAGGAAAATAAATTCAAAATTCAGAAAATAAAAATTATTATTTCCAGTAAATGGAATAAATAGCACCTTGCGTAGTTGTGCATGAACACTTGACGCTTAAATTTAGGTTCGGATTGCATGTATTTCTCTTCACGAGGATTGAATGTGCGGATGGCAGCACGAATCTGAAAGATTACACTTCCACACTTCTTCTTGCAAGTGAGCATCGCAGATGAAGTGGATTACATCGCAGATGAGATGGATCACTTTTTGTAAAATGCTCATAATACGAACAATTACATACAGTCAGATGATCGCGATAATGAAAGCAACATTTTCAGCTGACAATTTGGAATAGTCATGAGCCTTACCGGATTCCATATAACGTCAAGTTCCAGTTCAATTTGGCCTTTCGACGCCTGATCGAGTTTACGATTCTTCAAAGCATACCAGCGTTTTTCGCAGTTTTCGATCTAAAAACAACACATTGCCGAAAAAAGTTTAAGTGTACTGATTTATGATCTTTTTAATTGCCAATTTCATTTTCCTTCCAATTCTCAGTACAATCCGATTCTCAAAATTCATGTTGGGTACTGTTCTCTTCGAAAGGAATGGAAAGTTTCGGCAAATACAGTTTGCTCAAATGGTGGATACAAATGATCTAATGAAAAGGTTGCTTCAAATGAAAGTTTCAAAACTGAAGTTATATGATTTTTGCAGAAATTAAAATATAAATATTGATCATAATTAAGCCAATATTTAAAGAAAATGTTTATTTCCAAAGCAAAAAATGGGCGAGTAGTGAAAAATTGCAAGTACATAGAATAGGTATTCACCTTCAGCAAAGGAATAGCAATTTTTCCCAAAAATCCAGCCTTTTTATTGGGATCTTCATCATAAACGGTGATCTCAAGGACAGAATGAATGTCCTTCACAGACCTGTAAGATGGAGAAAGTGGGACAGTTTAGGAAAGAATCTGATACATTCGAAGGAATCAAATGCATGGTTGTTTTTAGCCACAGATTTTGGTCAGTACCTTGATACTGACTGAGACTTATTATAGATTTGTTCTAAGTGATGTAACCGAAACGGATAAAATAAACTGCGACTACGAAAACTTCGAATAAAGATGCAGAGGGGAAAAAATGAGCTTCAATCGAAAAATATCATCAAAAAATCAAACGAATGAACGTACAACGTGAAGAGCTTGTTCCAAACAGGATTTATTGTTTTGTACTCAGTATGAGTTTGCAATCGATCGTTCACCAACTCCACCACAACATATGGATCGCTCTTACCGCTCATATCTACTGCTGCTAAGTCTCTTGCTTGGAAAACTATAAGGTATTTGATAACAGATAAACGAAATGACAACAACATTATCTGAGATCCGTCGAAAACGCTTTATTGGCTGACCTTTGATTGTGAGGTATCCAACGTCGCGAATACATTGGAGTGTTCGTAATAAACTCTGCAATGAAGGTGTCTTTGCTGAATCTATAGAACTTTCAGTCTTAATCTCTACAAGAGATTATTGCTGAAAAAACACATAACGCTTTCATCCTTACTGACTCAGAAGGTATATCTCGAATCAGCTGATTCTATGCATTACTGCGTAAGTCTCTTGAATTTTAAGAGACTCACGTAGTTAAGTTTTTGAGAATACGTACATATTTGCTAACAATGGCGTTTCTTACATCGTTACCAGTAAATTCACAAAGATCCACAACGGCATCGGTTGACGTTGTTCCTGAGATTGAAACCAAAAGCTGTATTGAGCCTAAAATTGAGAACAAATCGGTGTAGTCATTAACAATAGTGAAGATTCGAAAATGGGTAGGCGAAAAATGTGGAAAGAAAAGATCTGACAAACTCCAGCAGCGACCACATTCAATACAGTGACCAAATTCGGTTGCATTTTAGAGTCTCACGAATTAATTGTTGCCTTCAGAACGCAATGAAACTTTTTGGTGTGATGAATAAGAACTGTGCCAGCAAACTCTCAATGCATTGAAGTAGTCAGTACTGTTTATCGGTTATGCTTTTGTGGGTATATCGTACTCGACAAGACGTACTTAGAAATCACACCTACCATTCCCATTCTCCAATTCGCACAATAATTGATTTGCGCATTCTTTTTCCAACTTATCTAAGTCGATGCTGCACCTATACAAAACAATTATTTGCAATAAGTAAAACATCAAAGCAACAACAGAACTGTCTCAGAAACATTAATTACTCTGGTTAACAATCCGCAAAAAATAATCAAAAATTGCCCACCTTCCCATGCATTCGCTGTTGCGTTTATCATTAACCATCATTTCGAGCATATGCGTCGGTTCATCATACAAGTGTAAATCGAACTGTTCCAACCATTTTGGGTTGCGGGTTCTCGAAGCTGGCTAAACGTAAACCGAAGTGCTGACAAATTGGAACTTCTTTCATGCTTTTGAACAGCATATCATTGGAAAAAAGAATACATTGTTCGTTTGCCAGCACGAATAATTTTGAGAGTAAAAGTTGATATCCATCAAAAGGCCAATTTTGCTGAATATCAACTTTTACTCTTGTTCGACAATTTCACATTCAGACATACGGTTACATCGTGATTACTATGCCAAATTCCTTGGCTTTTTGAAAGAAGTGCTCTTCACTTATGAAACTTAAACTTATTGCTTTTCTTATGAAATCATTCCGAGCACATGTTTATTTTTCATGAAAAACATCAAATCTGCTATCTGCTATCATCAAAAACGACCACATATTTATTTTACTTCTCGTAGCACACCTTGCTTTTGTATTTTTCCGAACCAAGTTTGAATTTTACGAGTGGATCAGGTGCTAAGGCTATATTTGTTGGCGACATCAAATTTCGACCTTCAATGAGTACGATATTGACCACCGACAACCAGACTTGTGATGCTAGAAGATGGAAAAAAATTAACAATAATCATATGGTATCATTTTTGATATCTTGAGAGTCGACATATCAGCAGGCTAACACACATAAATGCGACTCTTCGTTTCTATCGAGAAGCATCTAGTAGTGTAGGAATTACCATTGAAGGCAAAAAGGCATGATTAATAAAGATCCAAAAGAATCTCACTTTTCTGTGGCCGCTTCAGCTGCTCACTAGTAATTCCCCTGACACATTTTTTCATGAACTGAAATTATTTTTCATGAACTTATATTAAGAGCAAATCGTTTTGAAATGATGAATATCAATAATGAAATTGAAGTAAATGCATAATTTTCAATATTCTCAGAAATAGTTTGATTATCTTTTGAGTGGGTCGACTGAATAATGAATTTTAAAGAGACTCAAAAGTATTTTTTAGTGTAACTGCTCACAAGTTCGAGAAATTTTTGTTAAATTTAATATGAAAAAGGATATGAATGGTACCCCAAAACAACGGTTTGTGGTTTAGATCCGGGGGCTGAATTTGGAGAGTATGCAATTCGGAAATTTATCGCTTGTATTTCGCCGATGCATTAGGAATTTATCACAGATGATAAAACTTTGCACGAAAGTAGATCTTTTCATTTTCAAATGATCCAAAAGACCTCACATGTTCCGATATGATAAAAGTCATAAATTTACGGACTCTGAACACCCTCAGCGCCAACTAACTAATTTATATTATAAGATTTTTTCAAAGATCATAATTTGTGCTGTTATAATAAAAGAGATCATGTACTGAAAGCGCTCGTTTGAGATTAGGCAATCTACTGGTCAACAGATCATTGCAACTATGAACTATGCACCAGGTGTATAAATCAAGTAGATGTGTTTTATCAAGTAAACCTGCTCCTTTTCAGTTTGTGTTAATGGTGTGACGGTGACAACAAGATTCACTTCACCCATTTCGTCAGTTTTACCCTCTTCCAGTAACGTAACTTTCACTTCTGTTGGCCTTAAGTGGAGACTTCTTAAATAATGTCTCTTTAACAGTTTTGATTAACTGTTTTATTCTGTTCCATTCACACATCCCAAATTTTGAATATGTTCTATTCTATTTCGATAGAGTAGAGCACAACAGAAGATGAACAGAGCAGTTTATTTTAAATAGGCACATCACTATTCTTAATCGAGTATCCCGGTGCAAAAAAACACGAATTTTGATTTGCATAAATCAAAAATAGGCCACCTCAATGATTCATTCTTTTTTTTATATGTGACGTCTTTGACTCATTGTCAGCGGTACTATTGTTTTGGTTTGTGGTCATTGAAACTAAATACGTCGATTTCATACGAAATATGAGATCTTATCGCATGTTTGATTTTCGAAATGTAAGACGAATTTGTACAACTTGCAATATACAACTTGAAATTGTATAATTTCAAATCAATACATGAAATTCGAATTCAAAAGAAAGAACTTTCTAAATAATTATCGGGCAGTTTTTTACGTTTTCAAACTAAATTTTAAAGCTTGCTGTGATTTGTCCATTTTAGAAGTCATTCAGTCTCTCATTTAATTCTAGAGAAATGTTGATATTAGAAGCTGGTACTAATGGAGCGCAATACTAACTGGAAAAGTCGAAGTTGACTGACATCAATAAGACCACCACCCATATAATCATCAGCTGCAAAGCGATCATAGTCATAAACATCAACTGCGATCGGTGTTGTTGGATCATCGATCAACTGAGAGAACTCTTCTTCCCATACTGGATTCAGGTTCTTATAAATCGTATTACTCTTGAAGTATGTACGACTTTTGTATTTGAATTTTACGTAAGGATCACTACTACCTATAACAATGTTCACTGTATGAAAGCTTCATAATCTTTTATGATTAGCTGACATATAGGAACGCTTAAAGAAGAAAGTAAACGATGCTTGGATTAAGATAAACTAAATCAAAAATGTAGAAACGGCAAAAAATGTTTACAATTAGTCAATTAAAGTCGTTATTTTTGTTTGTATTTTCAAAGGTGCTCAATTCAATTGCAAAGGGAGGAGCATTCATTCAAATGGAATAATACCTTTCCGGTTGGGCACACAACGTGGTTCTCATTTGGGGCACAAATTTAAAGTTATTTAATGACGGGTGCATGAAATGCTGCTTATTTCAAAGAATTGTAAAAGTTTTTCATTTAAACCTGATGCATCTCGAACAACAAGATTTTTGCCGTCTTTCAATCGGATTTTGACGTGAAATGTCACGTATTCGTCCACTTTTGCCACCTTCTTATCGTCAGTACTACTTTCTTTCTGTGATTCATTGTTTTTCTGCAATAATTTGGAATTCACAAAGTAGTTTGCAAGAGAATGAACTTTAAATTTTATACATTTATGTTCACATCCGAACGTTGACTCTCACTATTTCCATAAGGTAATGTAGGAACGAAAAAGAATCAACAATTATTGAATGGTTGTTGAATATTGAAGACCATTCGACCATTCAAGATTATAAAATACAAATATCTCATTTGCTGTCGAATGGACTGAAAGTTTCCTTCTTACACTGAAATGAACAGATAAAAATACCCGATACCTGCTTGGATGTACGACATAGTTCAGGAGCAGAAGTTGAGAGATTGTCGTCAGTTGCCTCAGTTTTTCCGCCTAATCTGCATGAAAGGTCACTTTTTTTGAATGTCTCAATAAAAACATATTGTGCTATTTTTAGTCACCATAAATTCCACTTGCATATTTAAAAATCTCCAGATCCATGCAAGCTTCTGCAACTCTAGTCTGTATTATTTTTTAGAATGGGAAATTCATAGCATCCATTTTTTACTTAGTAGCTATGAATTGCATCTCAGCGGGAAAATTAACAGCAAAGAGTAAGTGTTTCGTGGGCGAAATATCCATCCTTTGAGCAGGTAGGATCGTGAAATATGGTTCTAGTTGTGTTGATAAGTACTTAAAAGATCCAACATCGAAATACGGCAGATTGCTGAATGGATGTGGGAAATATCCAAGAATCCCGCGCCAGACAGCCAAAATTGGTTCTGGTTACGGCAATGAACCGAAATTTACGGCGGTCTGTCGACCGAAAGCATTTTAGCAGATCGTTGAAATTTTTTAAGGATTGCCAAATCCTGGGCAGCCATGCGCTGACTTCGGCATTCAACTGTATGCCACTGTCGACACTAATTTGTGGCCAAATTCACTTTGACTGTACGATTACTTTTTTCGTGAATGCTCATTTTTATAAATAACACGGATGAATAACCTGATGACAGAAGTCGTGAATTTTATGTTGCGCCAAAGTTTTTGCTTCTTTACAGGTTTAGTTGCAGGAGTAGCTGGAAATCATTTGCTGACAAAGATGAATTGAGATGTTTGGTGATTGATCGATGACAAAATCGAAAATTTACCTTCAGCAGGAGGTTCTGCTAACTGATATTCAGAATCGACTGTTGGAAGAGCAGAGGCGCATCCAAAAACTCCTGTAACTAATAAGGTTGATTTTGTCACCATAATCCTTTACTTATCCAAGGAATGGAAGTGAGCTAATAAAAAATTGGTTTCTCATGCCGTCTGGCTCGAGCATAACCCTAAAAATAGCAACTGCGAAATGCTTCCTGAATGAGTGACAAGTTCAAGTGAATTCGATGCAGAATGGCCATCTAAAGACATAGAGGTCAAATAAAGAGACTCCATCGAGACTGACTCATACGACGACTGGTAGACAGAGGTGAACTGCCAACAGAGCGTGGAATTTGATGGTAGACTACGAGTTGGCCATCATCTGTTTGCAGATTACTTGAAGTTGAACAATCTGCTGAAGAGGTGAATTTGTGATTGCGTTCTTGATGAGATGCAGATCGAGATAGGCTGCTATGTGATGAGCCGTTATATGATGTATCAACAAGTGATGCATTCGCTGTTCGCTTCCGTGTCCAGTGTCTATGCCACCATGTAGCATTCTCATGTACATTATCCGACCTCTTACTCATTTATACAAGAAGGACAGATCAAAATGAGGCATCAATCAATAACAATTCTGCCATCGTCGGATCTGTTGAACTACTCGAAATGAGCGATCATGCATGCTCACACTATATTCCAAACGCATCGATTTAAGATTTTCATTTTATGCCTTATTACCGATCATTTAATACTCCAAAAAGTTTCAGCGCAGAAGTGCTTCTTCTCGGTTCTTGCTTAGTGCTATTGCAATATTACTCATGAACCCTGTCGAAGGAATCATCAGCCTGGAATGCGGCAGTATTGAATGATACTGCTTACATAAGTGTTGCGGCGGAGTAATTAATAACGACTAGGCGAAATGAATTTATCCTTCATCTAGTTGTTGAGAGCAACAATATAGACATTCGGATAAACAGGAACATAAAATGAAATCTTGTGTTGCAGTTTAATAATAGAGTGAGGATCGTTTCGACAATTCTTAAGAGTTAAGCAGATGAATTCTCGCAATATTTCATGCTTAAACAAGCATAATCAGCAAATGTTCCGAAGCACGTCATTAACTCAACGATATGGACACTAATTGTGAAATATGCATCACAATTAGCAAAAATCATGCATTCACCTCTCAACAGAAACGATAGTCATGCGTGAGCGGTTATGCGACAGCAACATGAAGTCAATGAAAAGAATGTGGATTTATTGATGCAGTGAATGAAGACTCCTGAGAATATCATAATCATAGAAATGCAAATAATCGAATCAAATGTTTGCTAACATTATCTTCGTTCAGTGAATTTGAGGATAAGTCAGAAGTTTGAGGATAAGCCACCTTATCAAGATTATCGAAAAACAAATGATTACTCGAAAGCAGATTTATTTCAAATGAATTTGAAATTCTTGGAAGGCGATCATTTCCTGTTTGATGAACTGAGTGATCGCAAATAAAGAGTTATCAAAGGATAATTGTGTTTATGGCTTTAAAATGCACCATAAACACAGCTGTGCATTACGATTTTCATATGAAGATGAGAAAAGAGATGAACGAGCTTACTGAAAGGAAATATGAAAACTTCACAGCTATACGTCTATTGAACATTCACCAGTTAAACAAATCATCATTTCAATGCAACGCCATAAGAGCAATTTTAAGAGCAATTTGTTGATATAGAAACCAGTGATACTTTAGTGAATGGAGTGAAAACCAAATTGGTTATTAAGTTGAGACACTCACCTTGATCATTCACATCCTCACTTTCTATGAGCGGATGCTTGTTTTCATCCATATTATGATTCTCGTCAACACTGTTCCTAATATTCAGCAGGAATCGGTCTCATTCATCTAACTTTCCAGCAAAGACGACAGATGATGAGTCAACAAACGACCAATATCTATCATAAAATCGAACAAAAGATTTCTTACTTGTTATAATAACACTCTAATAAAAACTTCGTGTAAATCGTGAAGATAAACAAGTCAATAATTGATTAAAAATGTATGTAATTTTGATTGCTTAACCGGGCTCCTTAAATCTATCAATAGACTTAGTAGAAACTAATTTCATCACATTGACGGATTGAAATATAATACTTCTTTTTGATTAAAGTATGATTCTTCTTCTTCCGCTCGAAATATTCTCAATCGACTGCTAAATGCAATGAGCACATCTGAGCGTGATGTCATCTTTGTATCGCTATGGTTTTAACAAATAGCATTCTATGGGTGCTCATGACTGAGCTGAAAATATTGAAAACACTCAACAAAAAGGTGTTCATCATTGAATTTTCCAAATAGACAGAAAAAACGATTCCTTTCAAATCCCATTCAAATTATAAACATGCTCGTTTATTTGAACATTGAATCGCACCAGTAAAGCAGAAAACATATATAATTCATGAGACATAAATTATCTATGCATTCGTCTGAAGGTGCACCCATATCATCTGGACTGCGTAAAATTAGTGCAAAATGATCTTATGCAGTCCAACTTCAAGGCGACCTCCCGCTATAATATTTGTTTCGCTATCGAACTCGGAGCCCTTCGAGGTCCTACCACCTACCTTAGTTCCGATTAATTGTTTGGCCATCAACACTCGACTTTTATCATCATCCTTTGTCTAATAAACGATGAATGAGTTTTTCAAAACATTGGGAATCAATTTGCATAGACTGGTCATTTTTCACAACTTTCAGGCTAATTTTTGTTTTCATTCAGAGTTCATACATTCGAATCTGGGAACGTTTCGCTTGCAAACTATCCGGGACTGGAGCAAGCTTCATTATATAATTGAAACTTCTGAACAATCGACTCAACCATTCTCGAGTTCTATCGGAAAACATCAACTACGGAAGCACCTTTGATATGGTGGTCGATGGACAACAGAATCAACCGTTCGTTGGGAATCTGATTTTGTGATAATTACAAATATAATCAGCTGTAGCTTTTACTGCTTTCACTCGATGCCGTTTTATGGTTTAGACATCTTTCCTCAATAAGTGCTGATATGATCTAAGTTAATAGTTGGAATAATGTAATAAATATTTGGCAACACTTTTTTAGAGCGCATAAATGAAGAACAATATAGAAATGAATCGAAAGATTGACTTGAAAAGTATCGATAAAAATCGAGCGTATAGATTTGGTTGCCTGACCCTGGGTATGAATGGATTGTTGGAAAAAGCAAACGAAATGATCAATCCGTGATTGTTGTTGTGAATATTCATTAAAAACAGCTCAAATATACACCAAATACGCAGATCGTTGACTGTTTTGTATTGATGGAATCGTATTAAATTGCACCATAAAATCGATGTACACCAGTGAAGCGTTGCTTATATGTCGATACTATCCTTTTATTAGCTGTATCACCATTTTCCCATTCTCTAACTGTATTATTTGTATGATATTGTGCATGATAAAATGATGACAATATTAACATAATCAAATCGAATCACTGACTCTGTTCATCTGCATTTAATAAAACAAACCATCTCAACAGTTTAGCGAACAGCAGCTATTCAAACTCTTGATTTGATAAGCAGTGATCCAGTTAATTACGGCTTTCCGTCATCAGTTACTTGCTATGTAAAATAAATACTATTGAGATTTATTCGGAACGCTAGAGATATACGTGTATCCCGTAGAAGACTTTACTAACTATCTTTGATTGCGAGCGATCAGCATGAGACCTGTAAACTTGAGATGAACACCAGACTTGTTGCAAAAAAAGAACATTTCAATCGAAAAAAGACTGATTCGAATAAAACAACAAAAAAGTCGACATCATAGGCAACCCTTCAGTTCGCAACATTTTTTTGATCATAAATACGATGAAATAATAGTCCCAAATTTTCACCAATCGTCCCAAATCTCCTCAAGCACCAAAGATTTATTTGATACCTTATAACTTCATAAGCTCATCAATATGGATTGATCGCATTATCAGTTATGCAACCGCAGACCTCATAAGGAATCTGTCGGTTGTATTGCAACGGCTTACTTAAGTTGAGTAATCTGATTTTCCCTAATGTATCCCGAAAAATTTATGACTTCACCTCCTTCCTGGATTCATCGGATTCGGGACATGTAGGAATAGTGATGTTCCTGTTCCACACATTCGGTAAACTGTTCTGCTGTGTTCTGTTCCGCCTTTCAGCTGTTCTGTTCTCCATCCCAAGTTTTCAAACTACTCTGTTTAGTTCTGCTTTGTTCTTTAAATGTTATACTCTGTTCGCGTATCCTTTTTTGAAGCTATTATTTTCTGTTTGTGCGAGTAAAACAGGAATAGGAACAGTTTGAATAGGGTAGAAACATCACTATGTTGGTAACCTGCAGTTTATGAGGCGGAAGAGTATCGTCTTCTCAAATTGAAGTTAATCATTCCTCTCTTAATGATGAGATAGCATAAATTCGGTACCCGGACAATCTGCCCGAAGACGTTTTGCTTAACGACAGTTTGTCTAAAGACACATTGCATGGCGGACACTTTGCCTAATGGACATTTTGCATAACGGACGATTTGAATAATGGACATTTTGCTTGTCGGAGTTTGCCTAATGGGAATTCTGCCTAATGTCATTTTGCCCAATGCACGTGCGAGGTTGTTAGAGCACCCGTTCAGAACATGCTGGGGATGGTCATCTCGTGGCTATTATTAGAACACGTGTACATATCAACATTGGTGATTTTGTTGGCTTCAATCAAAATAAAATTTTGACCAATGAAGTTATCAAGAGGAAACAACGCGTCTAGTTTATGTTTATCACCGGTGATGGACAGCTTGCTTCAGCAGTCTCCTTCACGGAACTATATTTGGATTCATACACAGCACATTCCCCTTAAGAATAGAAAATGTTATTTACTATTAATTATGCATGCCAGAATTCATAAAGCGATTTGGAGGAGGCAATATTTTAGGGGAGTAAATTCCAGGCTCTAACGATTCTGTGTGCAAAGGAGAATTTTGCACTGTTTAGTTTGCAGCGCTTGACAGCGAGTTTAAAGGAATTATTATGGCGGGTTCATTCAGTGCTTGAGGAACATTCGATAAATTCATTCATTGAGAGACCGGCCTGATGTTGAACGATGTTGTAGGCCATGCAAAGATCTGTATAAAATCTTCGCAGTTCTAAACTTTCTAATCCTAGTATTGTTGTAACTATGTTCGCCCACTACTAGAATACGCCTTGTCCCTCTAGTCTCCCTATGATTCACAGAAGGACAAACATACGTTAACATACTTGAAAATGTTCAAAGAAGATGCAGCCGTTTCATATTCAAGAGACATTGTGGAGATGCATGTGAATCCAAACATAGTTCCGTGAAGGAGACTGCTGAAGCAGGCTGTCCGTCATCGGTGATAAACATTAACTAGACGCGTTGTTTCTTCTTGATAACTTCATTGGTCAAAATTTGACTTTGATTGAAGCCAACATTGAAGCCAAATCACCAACGTTGATATGTATAGGTGTTCTAATAATAGCCATGAGATGAACATTTCCAATATGTTCTGAACGTGCGCTCTAACA